GGGGGGGGGGGGGGGGGGAGGAATACAGATGTCCAAAATGATTTGGCCTTCAATCCAAGAAACAAGAGAGACCAGGTGTTTTATCATAGAGAAATTCGTATCGCTCTCCGTTATGCCTGTTCTGGAACTGTATAAAAGCAGAAAGGAAAGTATGATGAAGAAAAAGGAAAGCAAGAATTGACCATCAGTCCAAGTAGAAGCAAAGAGAGGAAGGACTGGGCCAAGAAACAAGCATACCAGAAAGCCCTCCAAGCAAGCGAATCGATACCGGGTCTGATTCACGGGGATCGTATCTATTGCCAACCGCTGGAGCCGTACTGACAAGTCTTCCGGATCATCGTTCCTGGATAGATCATCTCTATGGATTCTCAATTGAATCCCTCGGCTTTGGCAAACCGTGAGGAGCGTCTCCCACAGAAATGGCTGGACGTCGAGCTCGACTTGCTCGTCGATCGCCAGGCTTTCTAGTTGGCCGAGTGGCCCCTCTTCGCGCTGTAACTGATGAATCAGCTTGTCCAAGCGGTATTCATGATACCGGTCGATAAAGAGAGACCGCAGGTCGAACGGCAACACGTCCACATTTCGCTTATACAGATGTTGGATGTTGATCGTGCCGCAAAGCTCGAGGTTTTCCAAATTCCACAACTTGGCTAGCAGGTTACCCAATACCCTGCCCATGGGTGAAGACCGGTTGAACCGTTCTCGCCTTTGATGTTTTCGTCTGCGGACCAAGCCGTCGATCCTGAGATCTGCTATCCGCAGGGTTTCGATCTCCGTACAAGGTGCAAAGATACTATAGAAAGCATCCGCATCGTCCTCTCGCTCATCATCAGACAGATTTCCTTCTTCGTCTGTATCAGGCTTTTCAAAGACCCAAGTAAGCTCCCTGAGACTAAGATGTGAATCGGCAACGATAAACATCAGATTGTCGTCAAACAGCCACCGTGCCCTTCGGATGTGAAGGGACTCCAGTTGGCAAGCTGGTTGCCCTTGGTTTGCCAGGAGCTCATTGGCTTCCTCGTCGTCTGCTGGTCCAGTCAATTGAAAGACCGTCAAATGTCTCAACCCGGGCGAGTTGCGCATGAGTTCGGCTAGGTTTCGGAAGGAAAGCCACACGCCCGCTGAGTTGGTGCGGAAGATGAAAGTGGTCAGTCGGGGAAAGGTTGTAGCCGCGAGGTTCAAAGGCGGCGAGGCATTCCACCAGATACTCCCAGGCAGTGCATGTGCCATCTCGATAAAGAAAAATTCGAGGGTTTGGCTGTGACGCTTAAGCAATTCCAACCCCCCCAAACAGCCATTCCTGGTATAAAGCTTCAGCCTGTGGCAGGGCAAAGTGCGAGCATGACTTCGCGGGTTGGATGGCGTTTGAATGAGGCCGGCAAGGATGGCCGATTGATTCATCTGCCTGCATATCTGGTCATTCGCGATTCGACAAGTCATCCGCAACGTAATCGACTTGTTCCAGGCCCTCCTGCATAGTTCGATACCTCTACCCCACAGTACCGACTGGGTCTTGAGGGTGCATGACCAATAGGCAGGCGAGCTTGGGTAATCAGCTTGATCTTCTTCGTCGAGGAGGGCGAGCAGGAATATGTGAAGAGGAATTTCAATAGGCAAATCAGTCATGTTGGGGATTGGTATAGAAAGGATTTGCGCGTTTGTGTGTGGGTCTAATGGGGATTTGAGTAAATGTTCAACTGAGGATGCGAGTCAAGTGCAGTTTTCTGTGAAGATGAGATGGGTACAAGACCAATTCGAGCAGAAAGCACCTCTATTTATTTTGCAGGCAATGTGAGCCTGAGTCAACGAAGCCCGAGTGCGGACAAGAATACACTCAGTCCCACCTTTCATAGTTCTGCTAGCGCATCACGTAGTACAAAGCTCCGTTAAGTCTCTTTTGGGCCAGCGGTAGGTAGAACTCCGTGGCTAGAGCGAACTGTCTCCGGTGGTGCGACTCGCAAGTCTGAAGAACCCATGAACCCCACCGATTCCAGCTGGAGACTTACTTTTGCATAGTGAACTTCTTTCTATCCTCGAACTTCGTCTCGATTTACATACCAGTCAACCCCAGTCACCCTGTGATTTAGCGCGCACTAACGATGTTGTCACTGTCAGCAGTAATACACAAACGGGAATTACATTACTTGACCATACATGCAGGGATCTTGTAGATGTTTTTAACAAAAGGCGCAGTTAGAGGCTAATACTAATTTATTCTTAAACAGCTTGTAGACAGAAAATGTATCCGGGTGGTGCGAGGAACGTACTCGAAGGCGAGCTTGCGATTCGCGCCATCAAGGAATTAGACTAGCGCAAGTTATAGATCAACAAAAGAGATGAGGTGAAAAAAAGAATAAACTCAGGATGTGGTGGAAGAATCGGAAAGATGACGATCCCAACAGAGCACAGCCGGCCATTTTTTTCGATGCAGAAGGGTTTCGAAAATTGTACGACAGTCGATCTTGGGAACTCGACGATTGGTGACCAAAAACGTTCTGCTCCGCTTTCAATTTAAGCTATATCTCTCATGTGGGGGTGGCGTCGATCGTAACCAAACAATGGTAGGGATTCGTGATCGGTTGGGGACCGTTTGTTAGACGAAGTCGTGCGGCTGCTGGCATGTCACCCGAAAAAGGTTTCCAAGGCCTTTCACGCTCTTGTACGGTGAACCTGGCATTGCCTGCGCGTCCAGCCCATGTATTGGATTTTGATGCAAGAACCAATCAGCTCTTCGGCGCGTTTCGCATTGCTTGGATTAAGGAACCGTATGTTAGTACTCACCTTGCTTTCATCACCAGTCGGATATGTCAGATCGTTGGAGGGCCCCATACAGTCCACACGTTTCGCATTGATCTTTGCTTTCAGCAGCTCAATGCATCCATCTTTCAACTTGTCGCTACATGCCGTGTGGACGTTAATCAATTCGATCTGTTTTCATGGCCCACAAGGCAGTGGCGTGGTGTTAAACCAAACATAACGAGTTCAATCAGTAATTGACCAGCCAATGCATAAACCCGGATTTGTACAACGCTTATCCAAAATTTTACATTGCGGCTCTGTATTTTTTATTTTTATTTTCAAAGCGAATAGAAGGATGAATCAACTGACCTGTTTGTGTCTTCATTCCACATGTAGTCACTCCTATTGAGATTGGGTTGCACATGGCGAGGAGGGCAAGATTTCCCCGCGATGGAATTCAAGGACATCGTGGCCAATCTGACCGTGGATCCAGTAACGAAATAAAGACGCACTGAGGCCAGGTCGGCCGGCGAATGGGGCTTAGATAGTCACAGAAACAAGCCTTGCGAAATAAAGGGGAGATTAATTTATTTCGCAAGGCTTGTGACCATTTGGGTGCTTGTCACGGCGAGTTGCCTGACATGAACTCGATGGCCAAGGCCCTCGAGGTACTCGAGTGATCGAAAATCCTAGCTACCACGAACCTGCGATCGTCCTTCAGACATTCACCCATCGGTTTTCGATGGCGGACCTCTCGGGTATAATCACACTCGTCTTTGAGCTCTTGGCCTAACACCTCGATCGACATGACCAAGAATAGCCCTTTGGGTAGGATCGATCGAAGTGGTGCCCTCAAGTTCACTCAGGTAAGATAAGTCGTTGAATCGATCGTCCTTTCACCGCAGCTCTGACCGACCGTTTCTCCCCATTTGTGACGCTGGCAGCAAGTACTCGCCATACCGCAGCTGTGGGCACTGGAATTTTAGAGAAATGAATGAATCTTTGCGATCGATCATTGCCGAGAGCTTCCTGTAGATCATTCTGTGTATATGTTGTCTTCGAAATCAGTTCAAAGAAACTTTAATGCATCTAGATTGAAAATTGAGTATATGGGGTCACTCTCACCTTTGCTTGGTCGAACGGGATGTCATCTGCAGTCCACTGAATCCTTCCAAAAACTTTCTCGATTGGCGGTGGCGATATCTTGACATCTGTTTACTGGAAAAACACATAGGAACAAGGGAGCAACACGTTAAAACAATTTAGGGGTAGTGCAATGGCACATGAAAGATATCTATAGGGACAAACTTGGATAGCCAAGGGTTGGCCGAGCTTGAGGGAAGAGCTTCACCTTTTAGACACCTTGTCGACGATGCGCCGGACGTTAGTTTCCAACAAAGCCAGCGGGTACGAATTATTCTTTGGGCCAGAGGCCGTCCGTCTTAAAACTCCCGATGTCGTGCCCCAACCGATCATTGCTACCCTTCCTGTGGGATATAATGCAGGAGATCAGATAGTGCTGGACGAAATTGAGAATAAATGGGATTACAAACCCAATATTGACCTCCACAGTGGATTAAGCTTCCCCAGGCATCAAGAAGGCACACGAGCGGCTCGAAGAGAACTTGCCCAATCCTGTAACCAGAGCAATCAGAGATTAGTCACTATCCTGTCAAATAAGGCCCCCCACGTTTAACAAAATGCCAACCTCAGTTTTTGGGTCGAGTTAAATTTAAGACCGGATTTTTCATTTGGATCTGAGGGAGATGAGGGCCCCAGTTCCTCAATTGGAGATCCTTTCCGGCATGGGTACCCTTTGTGGCTGCTAGGCTGATGAATGATTCACGTTGGTTTGTCAAGGTTTTCTGCTCTCAAGTTTACGCCCGCGGATTGAAAACTTGTCCTGAAACTCTGCCAACGGACATATAATACACAAAAAAAATATCAGATTTCAGATGTTGTTAGTTTACGATTAAATCTCTTTTCCGTAACAGAAGAATGAAAAAATACCAAACACAAGATGAAAACTGCTCGAGCGGCAGTACTTGTTTCCAACCATTGAATTGATGATGGTTTTGAAGAAGGCTTGGTAGATCCCCTGAGCAGGTTGCTTGACTGCTATACTCTTAGTGATACCTGAAGGGGCCTATCCATTCCGACTACGATCGAGGTAAGTTTGACCGCCTTCTTACAGATGATAGCTATCCGTCCCAGTATAACCCCTCCACGTTTTCGGCGTCCATCGGAAACTAAATGCATGTTTCCCCTGAAAAACCTCGGATTCGAGCATTGGCAGAGAGGCAGTGAGAGATGTCACAAGCTCATAAAACATGTGAAACGTCAGCCGGGCTCAAGTAACACCATGGCGACCTATGGCGACTATCGATCAACACACTCTTGAGATTCTCAAAGGACTCTCAATGTGTGGCTTCATCGATCAAGAGTCTGCTCACCAGAGGGGTTTAATTTGCGGGAATTGGGAGCTCTGTGTCCGAATGCAACAAGTTGATCTAAAAAAGCAGTCAAATGCTGTAGCAATGTATTGATGAATTGTGTGATGGACATCAAAGACTAAAAAAAAATGATGCAAAAACATGGCAAGATGCTACTCTACACATATTTTGAGAATTTTGAAATAAATGTAATGCGGAAATAGAGATCACACAGATTTGAGGAATGATAATCTACAGGCAACTGTAGACACCAAAAGAATGGATATTGGCGACAACATCATTACTAAATTTACAGCACAGGTAATTTTCCTGAAATGACATGCAATGACTAGAAAAAGCACTAATAGAACAGCAAGACAAGAATAAATATGAAAGAATGAAAATATAACTGTAGTTAAGATATGATTGTCTGAGTGATTCTCAGCTTGAGTAATTCATTATGAAAAGATAGAATGTTGGATTGATTCACAGGTTATGTCTTCTTTTGTATTGCAACTTGATCTGTGAGTCCAGATTGGTTACATTGCAGGTATTCATGAAAGAAACAGTGAGGATCCAAATAAGTAGAGAATGAAATGAGAAGAAAGCCACCTTGCTCCATGTGGGAACTGAATCAAGTCTTTCTGAGCTGCCGTTGGCATTGCAAAATGGTTGAAGATAAAAAGAGGATCATCCCACTAGATACTAGCATTACTCCTCTCCTCCAAATTACCCGTCCATGTGAGTTTTGATGCTACATGTGCCACTATCATAAGTGTAGTGATACTGTAAACGTGCAACAAGTCTTTAGGCTTTACCCCTATGTCAAGCTGCCGGCAGTGCCCCTACAATTCCACACAGCCAGAAAAAGGACAACATAATCCCAGGTAACAACATTAGCGCGCTCAATCCACCCCCTCATCAATTGAAATTGTAATTTGATTTTGTTGGACAATGGCATTGCCGAGTGGCCAGGCTATAAAAACTGGGACCTTGGCTTGAAATCTAGCAAGAGCCTTGCAAGTAGGCTCAATGAGCAGAAAGTTATTCAAGTCAATTGATATTAGCTGGCTGTTTGAAATGTACATCAAATAGGGGTCTACAAATTTGGCTACAAGTGCAACTAGCTACAGCTGATCTGAAAGGGAGAGGAGATTGAGCAAAAAAAGCGTGTGTTGGAGTGAGGTAATTATGTATGTACAAACTGAGCACACTGATCGACAACGAGTTGGTAGTGCATACGAAATTGAGGCTAAGTAAAATGATGATTTGGGGGTAGGGAAGCCAATTGAGTTGCCAACACCCTCTATGTCTTTTTACAACATCGGGTCAGGTTGGTCTTGAGCCAAAAGTAGGTAGAGCCAACGAAGCGAACTGCCGAAAGACCGAAGGTTGACCACAGGATGATATCTGTAATTATGGTAAGTAAAACTTATGGTTAACGCGTAGATCCCAAAGTGAAAGAAAGAAATTTTCTTACTGAAATACATGGACTGTTTCTTTTCCTCGTCTGCAGTGGATTTGTTCAAGCCGTTTACATTCTGGTAGTTGAATGTGTGTCAGTATGGTTCATCCTAATGTTATGAAACATAAACATTGGCAGAAACAGGAAAGGTTAACACTTACTGCGATAGCCACTGACAAAGCAGCGTTTGAGAGCATCCAGACAGATACCAAGCGCGTACGGAAAGTCTTGTTTCCATCGTCCTCAGTCGGCTTCTCTGCTACCTCAACAACGCTCCAAGGCGTGATTGCCCGTCCAACAACTGCTTTGAAGTTGGCGTCCAGATCTTCTTCTGTCCTGACCACATCTTGAACAGTAGGTCCGTTTTCACCATCGTTCTTTTCGTTGGATGACTTTACCGAAGGCAAAGCGTCGACTTTGTCTGAGCCCTTAGTACCCCCTAGATTACGATTGCGAGATGTCAGCTCCAGTGGATCACTGAACTCTAAAGAACTTGATTGACTCACATGAAACGTCATGCAAATTGCAAAAAGCATATACCTATAAAAAACATGTCAGAAGTGATTACTTGAGAAGTGATAGTGGGTATCACTAACATTGAGGATATTGGTGAAGGATGGCGCAAGACCTAAATTAATGAAGAACAATGGTGTTAGCTGTCTGTGTTGGTGAACAGGGAGGGGGGTTACGTAGAACCTACCCATGTATTGGGGAAAGGAGGAAAGCATGTGCCAAGGATCGGCGTAAAGGCAGGAAGCGATGAGGCTGCGAGATATTATAATTTGTCAGCTTCGGGAGTCATTTTAAGCCATTGAAAGAGATGAAGACAGACTATATTCCATAAGTAGACACCAAGGCAGCAAGTAGTACCCCGTTGGTACCGCCAATCAGCACATGGAACTTCTCAACGATGGTCGGAGAATCTTTGAAAGTTAGCGATCCGAAAGCCCGCACAGTCAATAGCAGGGCACAAAACTGACAGAGATATTTTGGTTAGCTGGAAAGAACACCGGTTTCGAGAATTGAAGGAAAGCTACTGACAAACAAATAGTACGACAATACTGCAAAGATTATGAAACATATCACATAAGTGGTTTGTTCGCCTTTGGGGCGGTTTCCCAGAGCAAGAACAAACTACAAAACAGAGGAACGTGTCAAAGATATTGTCAATAGAGCTGGGCTGAACAGCAGTAGCTGAAGAAGGACCCACTTGCAAGGCCAGTGCACCGAGATATAGCCACTGAAGAACAAGATTGACCCAATGAGTGATAACTTCATCTTTAAAAAGGAATACTCCGTTTTGCGGGAGAAGCTCAATGATAATGCTGAAGGTTAGCCAAAGGTTGGCTGTAAAGTTGATTAATGGCGCAGATAGGTCAGCCAGGCAATTCACATGCTTCCACATGAGAAGGGATAACAGATGACGAACCCAGTGAGAACCAAGTAAAGATGAGTTGAAAAATGTTGAAGAGTGCTTGCACATGAAACATCAATAATCCTAATGGTGACATGACAGATGGTCAGAAAACAGAAAGTATCAGCAGAGGTAGGATGAAGGCTCATAACTTACGGATGGGGTTGTGTGACGATTTGTAGAACCTGAAGAAGTGTATTGTGGCGTAGATGGATGCAGCAAAACTTCCATTTAGCCAACGACGACGTTGACTGATCAGTTCGGCAGCTTGTTCAGGCACATCGGTTTCACCCTTTGCAGCTCGGACATAACTCAAAAGCCAAGCATCGTTCGCTTTTGCAGCAAGCTCGAAGCACAAAATTCGATCCTCTGCAAGAAACATATTCTTGGTGAAGATACCCATTCCATTGAGTCCTTTCTTGCCTAGCCTATCAGCCAGTGTGTGGTCTCCGTGGAAATATTGCTGTAAAGGTCGTCCAGACAGTGCCCGGAATCGATAAGCAGAAAAGGCCCCGGGCAACACTGAGACATAACCAAACGCAGACTCTAACGGCTTATCGAGAATATTGGACATCTTGTACTCGAAGTTTTGGGCGGCAACGAGGGGGTTGATGAGTTTCTTGCCTCCCTTCAACATGGCATAGATCTAGAAGAGGCGCAAAAATGCGGTTCAAAAACTGGTGCGAAGTACTAAGGAAATAAAGTTTACGTACCTCGCCACAAGCTCCACCAAGATTCCGATCGTTGTGGAAGGCTTGCCACAGGTAATAAAGTGAGCGCTTTCCTGGTTTGGTACCGGCGTCAATAAGAATGCAGACTTCAGGATCAAGTTGACGACCGATCGCGTTGAAAAGCCAACGATGGGAGTTGATCTTTTTCGAATTCTTTTGCTTCAAGCAAAATATCATCTGAACAGGGACCAAGTTGGTTTTAGAATCACCGTCCTGAGTCGGTACAACTAGGGACGGCTTGTGATCCACCGAGAGTTGAGTGGTGTACTGTAAACGAGGGAAGTTAGGATCAATTCTAACAGAGTTAAAGTAGTTTGGGTAGCACAAACTTCAAAAATGTGAGCAACCGTCTCTTTGCCGTCAATTTCTTTTTTCATCAAGCCATCCTGATAGACTCCGACAGTGGCAAGTATATCAAGCACGTTCTGAAATCGGCGAAAATAAGATTGCCCTAGGTGTCAGTAAACCAACCTCAATAACAAGACATAAGGTATAGCTGTCCTACTTTGTCACAAGGTCCAATTCCATCGAAAATCAAGCAGACAACGATCTTCTGCCATCCAGATCCCTTCTGGCCAGCTTCGGCGCCTTTACCATTCCAGAATTTCGAGTTAGATTTGCAGATATCCCGTATCTTTGATAAGCCCAACAGAAACTAGAGTTCAGCCTCCGCGCTCGCTTGCAGTCTTCCGATACAAAGAAACTTACATTCAACATGACACCGTGCATGGTACGAGCAAAGAGGACCTTATCTTCGTTGTAATAGGTAACTGCAATCAACAATTCAGTTTCATTACCAGTGGTCGCAGTCCTGAGTTTCCAGCCGTTTTCAGGAGTGAAGTCATCCGGGTCACAGGTAGCGGCTGTGTAGCGAAGATGAGAAAATTGCTTCCCAATGGCCTGCTGGAGGTACTTTTGCTCGAGAGAGTTGGAGATTGCTTTTGGGACACTGTATCATAGAGATGCATTGGGATATCCCAAAGAGTCATTACTTGATGATACAATAGCGAAACGATCAGTCAAGTAACTTACGGGTAGTCATTGATGAAGTTACCCTGAGTAAGCTTCACCCGCCTGGTGATCCCACGCTGGACTGGCCTGGCACGACGTCTCCAATCATCATCGCTAACCATCGAAGCAGCGCCTCCTGGGCTAGGCATAGATCCTGAAAAAGACGTGGGTGCTGGGGGATAGCCGGGCATGCCACTAGGAGGGTACCCAGGCATATCATTAGGTGGATAGCCAGGACCCCCAGTTGGTGGGTAGTAGCCTCCCGGGTAGGCCGCGCCTGCCATGGGAAGAGCATGGTGAGTTAATGAGGATTTCTCATCATGAAATGAGGATTGGTGGGTGAGGGCATGTTGTGATGGATGAGAAGCCATTTGAGGATGATATAGGGTCGGTGATGCGTCAATGCCAGATTCATATGAGGGCTGCCGGCTTGATTGATCCCGCAATGGATGGTGATGTGAGTTATAAGCCATGGCTGTTTCGAAATGTCGATCACTTCAACAAGGCCGGTAATTGAGGAGTTGGAATAAGCGAAAGCTGGTAAACCGGACTGCTGCCGGCGAGTGTAAAGTCGAATAAAGAAAGTCTAGAGAGCGAATGGCCTTTGAGACAGGGTGAAGCAGTGGACACAAAAATATTCAAGATGTGTCGCGATCTGAGAGAATGAGGTTGAAAACTGGGAGTTGATCTGCAACGAAAATGAAGGTAAGCAAGCTTGTCCTACACGATGCGGGCGATGGGTGAGATTTGTTGAGAGAAATGTGATCAAACAAAGGAAAGGGTGTGGGGGTTTGGGAAGGGGAAGGGGAGGGGTGAAAGATGCCTTCTACCAGACAATGGTAGACATGATAAGTGGATCAGTGGAGGAAATTGATGCACAAATGAGTGCATTCAGATGAAAGCTAGAGCCATCGACGGAAATGGCAATGCTGATTGGCTCTATTGGGAAACAAACTTGACAAAAGACCTTGATTAGCATGACCTCTACTGCTAGCAATTGTCATAGCGCTCCACAGAAGCGATAGTGCACCCAGCCTCGGGGAATCAGCATATGGATATTGTGAGCAAAGCATTTCCTCTATCAAGGCTGCTGAACGTCCAGAACACATTGGGTTCGGACTTCCGTGTAGTCAGCTCTCTCGGCTCCTGGGTGATGAATGGAGCTTGGCCATGGGCAATCTCAGACGAAAGGTTCAAGATTAAATACCACATTCGTTTGCAACATGGCGTCTTCCCCATTTCGTAAGTCAGACACGAGAGGCGGGTCAGTCAGGCGTGACATGGGTGAAGATGGGGAACCAGATTGATACATGTCCATGTATATTCGGGAGAAAGCTCTGGGGTATATATTGGAAACCAGAACAGCTTGGATAAATCAGGCTGATAACGGAAACTCTCGCTGAGGTTCTCCCAAGCTCATTCCCGCCTTTTGACGGACGCAGCCGGCAGCTACCGTATAGTCAGTTGTGGTTGAACTTGCTATGAAGTCAACACTACGCATCAGCATCAGCCCATATGACACTGAAACTATCTTCTTGCCTGCAAGGTTACGTGGTGAAAGTTGACACAACCTATACCATCTGCGCTAGAATCACACGTTTGGAAAGTTGATTGGTACCTGATGATCAAGAGCTTCATCGTGACAATATTTGACTTCCACTTGCGATGCCGGCTTTCAAGGCCGGCCCACTTTGCCAGCTAATAGGCAGCTATCCTGAGAAGGATGACAGAAAAAAATGCATGACCTTCGAAGGAACATAGCACTTACTGATGAAGGAATTGAACCGCCGCACCAAAACTCGCGAAGCTTGAAAATATTACAAAAGCGCTCCGGCTGTACGATTTGACTTGCGCGAAGAGAGGGAGCGCCTTGAAAAAACAAAAAATCCGACGGAACGATGATCCACGATCCGGGAGGAACCTGACGGGTATGAAGCAAGCGAAAGTTTGATTAGAAAAAGAGTGTATTGAAGATTGCGGAATCGTTGGTCATGGAAAATTGCGAATAAAGGAATGTGGAACAAAAAGTCATGGGTCCCAAAGGCAATTCATAAGATTGCCGAGTTATGGGTTGGTCGACGCCGATGTCTTATGTGTATCGGAGACCATCAAACGTAAAGGAGGCGATAATCAACGTCACACCTTGCATCTGCAACTGCGATCCGCTATATAGCAGCAGGTACCTGATTATGTGTGTGGCAGACACCCTGGTCCCTGTCCAAGGTTTGAAACGTTTCGATGAAACAAACCAAAAATAGACATAAGGATTTTGACCTGGTGATTTTATGTTGTATGAGGTTGGAAAAGGTTATGCAGGGTTTGAGGAGAATGTGTGTATCTAAATTTGTAGAGTGATGTCAGAAGATCGCAGATGAGCCGAAAATTGGGCATTCCAACCTAACCTGGGTTTGCCCATGACCAAGGGGCATACGTCTGGTTATCAAACCTAAGAGCACTCCCAACAGAGACAGAGGTATCCAAACAAAATTTGACCGTGAAAGGGGAAACTAAACACTTTATGCCAAATCAAGCTGATTGCACAGGCAGTCTTCAAGAAATTTCTGGTCGGAGCGAAGGAGTGATAAGAACAGTCGAAAGAGAAATGGTAGGGTGCCAGGTCCGGTGCTACAAGTACGTATTCTGGCATCGGTCTGAACTAATATTGAGACATACCCTAAGGCACGATCCAACGACCTAACGCTTTACTAAATCGAGTCAATGATCAAATATCAACTGCAGAGAGCACCGTACACGAGTGGGCTCCCGAGGCCTGACAACTTGATACCACCCGTGAATACAGAAGCAATTGTTAAGCAGATCAAAGCGGAATGGGATGGCAAAGGTATATAGTGGACGCACCTTGCTTCGTGCTTGCGAAGCCGTAGGACTAGCCTAATGCCAAGCGAAATAAAGTGAGAATTGCTGGTAGGATCTGGACCTGCAAGCGGAATCGGGAAAACGTCTTGATTTTCAGAGGTTTGCTAGAAGTTATGTCTTGAGGAAGACTCTGAAGGTGATCACTGGAAGGTGTTTAGTTGAGAAGCTGATTGCCTTGAAATCTGTCAAGCCCGCTAGAACTATAACCACTTCTGGTTAACTTTTTGATTCGAGAATCGACACTGAGTGGCCCGGGTAAGAGGAAAGTGAAAGAATTGGGAGTAGTCACTGGCGGAAGGATGTTTGCAGGATGTAATAAATCTGGTGAAACGGAATAGGCTGGTAGACTATATGCCATCATCTAATTATGTAAATACCAGCAACACTTCGTTTGAATTTCTTGTTTGCTTGCGAAGGGAGATCTTGAAGTATCTCGGCAGATTTTGTTTGCGTGCGTCAACGCGTGTCCCTCAAACCATAGCCTCGCAACCCAGTAGGCAAGCATACTCATAGATTTTTCATCCACCACTCAAAAGGCCAGTCCGATTGCGGATCGCTTCTCTGATCTCACATCGTTTATGTAAATACGCACGGCGCGGATTTTGTGCGAGCTTTGCTGATTTATATTTGTGGGTTCAGGCTGTCTGAGCAGATATATGGCTCAACCGCGCGTCTTTTCCGTCAGCGCGCAAGGATGCGGTGGGTCGTGGTAAGTTGTAACAGACCGTAACACAGATAAGAGCTGGTAAGCCTTCACTCATGATACACCCCATGAGGTTTGATGAATGTTGAGCGGCTCTCATATCTGAGCTTGGCATTTGATCTGTGGGATTGATGCATATAATGAGGAAGGCGGTCATTACAAGGATTCCACCAGACTCCATATGTAAGTTATAATGGTGAGGGTGTGGATTTGAACAGGACACTGACATCTTGTGCGGAAGCAAGCCGTCCCGCAGAGTCAAATTCTGCATCGTACAAAGAGTTTTCAAGCCCACCCCAGAGCGGCATAGTTACACAAGCCCCTCCAAAGAAGGACTCTGAGGTGATGCTCTTGTTCAAACGTTGTGAACCCTTCATAATTCCCTTGAAGTCCCAATGTCAGTGTGTTGGAACTTGGTGGGGAAAAGCCCCTTGCACAAAGCACAAGCTTTCCAAGGAGGAACTTGGTGGAGAGCCTGCATGGCCACTGGCTGGGCTGCCCATACACCTAACTCAGAACCAAAGTGCAAAGTTTGGCATGAGAGGTTGGGGGCTTGTAATATGGCCTGAGTCTACTTAAGCAGCACAAGTTCAATCTGTATTTACTTCTCTCCATGGGTGAAGACAGTGGCTGGTGGTTTTGGGTCCCAATTATAGTATGATTCA